GAGGGGGGAGAGAGAGAGGGGGGAGAGAGAGAGAGAGAGAGAGAGAGGGGGGGGGAGAGAGGGAGAGAGAGGGGGGGAGAGAGAGAGAGAGAGAGAGAGAGAGAGAGAGAGAGAGAGAGAGAGAGAGAGAGAGAGAGAGAGAGAGAGAGAGAGAGAGAGAGAGGGGGAGAGAGAGAGGGAGAGAGAGAGGGGGGGAAAGAGAGAGAGAGAGAGAGAGAGAGAGAAAATAATCCCTTGTACTACACTTTGTATACATAACAAAAGTATCTACATTGCACATGTACTAGCTGTATGTGCACATACATGTACATTAAAAGATACATGTACATGTACATGTAAGTGTCTCCCTCCCTCTTCTCTCCCCTTCCCCACACTCATTACCACAACAAACTTCACAGACAGACCACAAATGCTCTAAAAATAAACAGGACTAAGAGACAAAAACTGAAATCGAAAACCCAATGAATCCCAGGTATTTGGGCCCTATGTACACAAAAACCACTAAACAACAGTATACATAAACACACCACAAGCACTTAGAGCACCTCTTTAATACCACACAGAAGAGACTAGCAAAATTTATATGCATGTATCTACATTATAGCTACTGAAAAAATTATCAGATACAGAGATATAAGATATGCTGTCTGGGTGAGTATCAGTAATGCAAGCCCTTGATATCTGCCCTCAGCTTCACCTCAAGCAGATATCTCAGTTACATTACTTATACACACCTTGTGAAACTATGGTTTAACCATTACCATATAAAAGAGAATGGGAGAGAGAAGCAGAGTACAATATATCTGGAAGGAATATTCCCATAGTATAGTGCATTGTTTTTCAAGTGATGTGGTTGTTGGGGAGCAGTTACAAAAGGCAGACAGTGTCTGGGGGTGAAATACTAATACAATTATAGCCTCCTTTAGAACAAATGCTAACGTAATATATATTTATTAAGATAAAACTATCCAATGCTTAATTAATCTTTCATCTTTTACTATGTATCCTCTTATACACAGTCTCTCTCTCTCTCTCTCATCACATATTGACACAGCTGCATAAATCCAATTAGTAACCCAAATCACTGCCAAACACAACAAAATACAGAAACCAAATTAATGAATATACAAAAAGCACACGGTTGACCCTCAGTCATGCTCTTGCCATATAAAGGACCATTAATCACTTTATTACACACACACACCTTCATCTCATACACATGTAGCATAGAGACCGTATACACAATGTATGTGTGTTAATATCAGACTAGACATATGTACATGTACGTATTTTATGCATAATTTATGTGTATATAGACTTTAAAGAAGTTATACCAAAGCTACTGAAAGATGGCCATAATTATATAATAATCACTTAATGATATTAATTGTTGTTGCTCTGGTTATGGATTACACTAAAAATGAGCTACATGTACAATGTGTAGAGAGAGTGTACATGTACATCAATAAAATCCTCTTTTATCTTTTTACTCTTTCCTTCCACCCACACAACCTTTCATGTCTCTTCCTTTCTCATTCTCTCTCTCTCTCTCCCCCTTTTCCTCTCTCTCCTCCACCAGCAAACACAATAACACAATGTCAAAGTCCATGACCACAATAAGCTTTTGTGTTGATCTAGTGTCTAGTCTGAGATTAATTTCTATGGTTGTACATGCCCTCTAATGTGGTCAAACTCAAAACATGCTCTTTGAGTGATTACATGTACATGTACATATGTACATGCATACACGGGGAGGGGGGGCATATTAAATATGCATATTAAGAGAGGCCAGTTAAGACTTTATTTTATTTAGAGACAAACCAGAGGAAGAGTGGTCATACAGCATGTTACTTACATGTAACGCGTAACGCATTGCTAGATGTACATGTACATGTACACGTAGTAACATGGTAATTCAATATCACTGACACAGGAATAATTATCATACATGCATAGGCTAATAACTCAGTCGGCATCAAAACTGTAGACTTTATGTACACAAGAAGAATAACAAACAAGAGCAATACAGCGACGAGTGGATACTACATGTACGCATTATATACATTTAGTATTGGATAGATGATATTATCATTATTATTATTATCCTAATATAGCATCCTGATTTCATTCGTTGCATACAAACAAGATATTAGCCAACACACAAATAATAAAATCATAATTGATAGTCATTGTCTCCTCTGTCTCTCTGTCTCTCCTCTCTCTCCTTCTCTCTCTCTCTCTGTGTCTCTCTCCCTCTCTGTCTCCTCTCTTTTTCTCTCATTCAGAGTGACCTAAAGGTATGACTACAACATGTCACTATCCATAGTCCAAACTTGTTATATCCATAAAGAGACCACATTAATATACGATGCATTCACATATACAATGGCCATAGCCTTTTTATTTCAAGACCTTTTTTGTATAGGTTCGTACCAATTGGGACACTAAAAAATGTCCTCGTTATAGAGGTGTCCTTATTATAGAGGCTAGGCTGTATAAGTGGTTGGATTAGTAACTTACAAGATCATAAACTTGCTCTATAAGCATAGACTGCACTTTTAACTGGAGTTCAGCTTTGGAGTTATGTAAATGCTCAGATTTTAAGTGACTATATGAGAGAGAGAGAGAGGAGGAGGAGATAAAGAAAGGAGAAAGAGAGAGGGAGGGAGGGAGGGAGGGAGGGAGGGAGAGAGGGAGGGAGAGAAAGAACAATCAACTACTGTCCCTGTGTATGACAGCTGTATCTAGTCAAGCAGGGCAACTATAAACTTGACATATTTTGTGGTAAAATGCAAGAAAAACAATTATTAAAAATAGATTTTAACATAAAAGCTAACGATAAGAGATCCTCGTGGGACTTTAGAAGAACCGAGCAATTGGGCCACTTGCAAACACCACCATCCCAAAGGACTCTAAGAGCATCTACAAAGAAAGTAGAGAGGAATACTAATATGAGTACTAGCTAATTCAACATAAACATAGAGAGTAACACTGGATTAGTATGTACATGTACAATATATTTGTGTGTGTGTGTGTTTAAAAGCTAGCGTACATATTATAGTTTCTATTTTACAACCAAAAATGAAAACTAGCTACAAATTCACTATTACCAACAAGCAGATATATATAAGTATATATGTACAAACATATGCTCATGCACAAGTACATGTATGTATCAATGTCAGCCTTATGGTCATGAGATAGGATAGGATATGATATTATTGTTGTGGTGAGTTGAGTGTGTAGTAACTTGTAACAAGGACATTTATCATAACATACATACACACATCAACCAACTTATAGGAAAACAACAACCTCTTCTTTTGTCTCCCCCAGCCCACATCTATTGTCAACCCTCTTCCCTCAATATAGACACATGCACATGTGCATGCCTACCCACTAAATAAATGGAACCACCTACATTTGTACATGTCTTTGTGCGATACATCATGACAATGAACTACAAGGACATACCCTACCACCCTCTCCCTCTCTCCCTCTACCTCTACCTCTACCTCTACCTCTCTCCCTCTCTCCCTCCCTCTCTCTCTCCCTCTCCCTCTCTCTCCCTCTCCCTCTCTCTCTCTCTCTCTCTCTCTTCCTACTCTAATAGGCTACTCTTGTTTTGCCCAAATTAGGAAAAGGCATGACTCCTATAACTGTACACAACAACAACAACAACACAAAAACAACAACAACAACAACACGTACACATTGTGGACACAAACACAAACAGAGAGTGAGATACAAACAACATACACAAAGTAAACAATCCCGGGAACACAAATGCAATATACCACACATGTACATGCAATATGGACTAAAGGTGTATGTACATGTACATGTACGTATAGTTACAGTATATGATTATTACCTGGTGAGTGATTATAATAATTAATAGTACCAGAAATACAATAACAAGAACATAAAAATAACAAAACAAATCTAAAACACACAACGCAACCTGGTCAATACTACTATAACAACAACCATACACACACATGACTCCACTAACGAACATAAAAATTACATTTAATAGCTACACCACTCACAGTAGCCTGGTTGGTATGAATTGAGCTTTTGTAATGTCCCAATTGATACAAAAGTATCTCTGAAGTGAGGACACCTCTGTATTAAGGACATGCAGTATAGGCCTAATGGTATCATTGAAGAGGCTTCATAAAATATATAAGTGCTGTTTAGAACTCAGAAAATAAAATTAATGCACTAAGACTATAATCGTTAGAGAGTTAAATAAATTTAAAAGGTGCTGGAGTGGCTAAGTGGGAGGCTGCTGTTGATGTTGTTGTTGTTGTAATAAACTGCTTGGGCAGACTGCAATTAGCAACACTACTATAAAAATATATTATTAGATATCAAATGACAAAACATATGCCAATAATAATAATAATAATAATAACAACAACAACAAGCAATACATTTATATACATACATATGAACATTGTTAGATCTAGAAATAAATTTTGAGAGACTAAACTAACTAAAAATGAGAGACCTGGGCTAAATACGAGAAACCAAAAGCAAGAGGCTTAGACCAAAAATCTCCCTAGATCTTATAGTGTATATATAAATATACATGTACATATACATTTATACTAATATTCCAATTTGTACAAAGAGTAAACAAACACATAACTGTGCATTGAGTGGAGTAATCTTGTTTACAAGCTAATAGACAATAATGTAAACAGCAAACATTCACACACATAAACAACATATTTACTCTTTTATCCATTGACCAAATGAATAATAACAACACCAAATTACAATAAACAATAATGTAATAACAATAACACTCGTAATTAATAATAATAATAATGGAATAATAACAACAACATAAAATATAATAATAATGATGATGATGATGATGATGACGATAGTAATAATTGCGTATGCAATCAATTTGTATTGCCAATTATTGTTAATACTGAGAAACTCAGAAATTCATATCAGCCAAGATACATACAATCTCCCAACGTTACATGTGCATGTACATTACTAAATATGTACATATGTACATGTACATATTATCATATAGCTTTAGTACAGTGGATTATCCACTATGGCTATACATACACCTCTTTAAAAATCTCATTAAAATGAGGATATAGTGACTGCTACAAAACTATAAGTAACTCGGAAATGAGGACATTTCTGTATCAAGGAGAGGTAGTGTGAGCCTAGTGAATAAAGAGACTACACTGGTTGCAGTCACTGCTCAGTAGGTGCTATACGAATGCAAGGCATTGTGTCAAGTGTCTTCTATCATGCTCTGAATGCTGAAGGGTCTTGTTGGTATAGTTTGTGTACTTATAGGAAGTCTTGTGGGTAGGAAGAGGAGGAGAGAGAGGCCGGACAAGCATTGCTAAAGGTGGGACCAGTAAGTGCAACATATACACACATTGTTTATCAGCCAGCAGCAGCTGCGTGGATTAGCCCTCTTCCCCCTTTGTTGTTTAATCTGCTCCTCTCTCTGCCTTTCTCCAGTAAACAACTTGATTACAATTAAATTAAAGACCACACACAGATAATGTATTAGTACACAACCAGATGAGTTGTTTACTTAAAGACAAAGACTGATAGAGGGTATATTGCCTATAGGAAGAAAACAATGAAAGGTCTAAGCCACAAAGAAAGACTGAGGTTAGCTAGAAACACATTGTGGAGCCATATAAGAGTAGCCAGAACACACAGGTAGAATAGACTTGTATATGGATTCATTTGTCATCCTTGATGATAATACTATTATTATTTATTAGTGTATTAATCATTATCGTTACTATTCCAGGATAAAAATAATAATAAACAGGAGAATAAAGCAATACTGGAGTATAGTAGAGTATTTACAAATACACAGAATCTGTAGTACAAGCAATATGGAATAGATTAGAAAGAGAGAGAGAGAGAGAGAGAGAGAGAGGGAGAGTTACATGTAGTACAAACAGACAAACAACCCACACCTCACACTGAGAGATAATAGATAAGCAACACAAATCGATGAATATACTCAACATAGTGACACATTATACAACATTCACATACACAGTAGCATACATTATATACAGGAGGAGCAGGTGTGTGTATGTGTATGTGCATATGTTAACTACATAAACTGATAAGGCGGTAGGAGGTGTTAAAACTCTCTATTCATTTGATGTCATGAGTATATGTACAAGTATACATGTTTGGGCAGCATAAATATGAGCCTTATCCGCCTTAAAGTGTAACAGTATACACAAACAAGTACATGAATACACTGGGGTATCAGAGATTATATGGAAACACAAACAGAATGAGCTAATATTAATATTGTATTATATATCAGTTGATGTGTGTGACCATGTCTGGAAACAGCCCACACTCCAAATATACAATATTACAATACTGGTTATACACCTACCCTCCAAACACACAGACACACACCACAAAACAAAAAAATAAACAACAGGCCACAACAGAGAGAACTAATCAACATACCAGACTGAGTGGGGAGTGAACTAGCAGCAGCTGAACTGCTTTGAGGTAGGCCTCCAACCCCTCCTGGTGTAGTAGCCATTGTCATTATACTGGAAGGAGAGAGAGAGGGAGAGAGGGAGAGAGAGAGAGAGAGAGAGAGAGAGAGAGAGAGAGAGAGGGGGGGGAGAGGGAGAGAGAGGAGATAAGTTACAGAACAATATGTAAATTTCTGCACACGTGTGTGACACTCAAAACTACAATAAGGTTTACAAGCATTGCACATGCATGTATATGTACATGTACATGCGCATGTAAATGTACACAGAAAGTCTTTGGCAGGACAATGGAGGAACAATCCTTATTGAATTTGCAAAATGGAAGAAAACAACTTGTAAACATAAATGGAGATTGGGTTTTGAATTCATTATACAATAGAGAAAGCATGACAGACAGCTGCAGGGGACTGTGCATGTACTAGGAAATGATTGGGACAGGGGTTTAAGTGGGAGAGAGAGAGAGAGAGGAGAGAGATAGGGAGGGAGAGAGAGAGGAGAGAGAGAGGGGGGGAGGTTGAGAGAGAGGAGAGAGAGGGAGGGAGAGAGAGAGAGGAGAGAGAGAGAGAAAGGGAGAGAGAGAGAGGGGGAGGGTGAGAGAGAGAGAGAGAGAGAGAGAGAGAGAGAGGGTGAGTGTGTGTGTAACAGAGAGGGCAGACAAGCACACTATAAACAGTCTGAGTGGGTTTGCCTTTCATTTTCTGAATAAGATTCCACAAAACAATTAAAAGCTGGTACCTAGTAGGACCAGGCACAGAACACAATACAGACAATAAGAGCAGACAGACACTCACTGAGTATATACTAGCCACCAATAAATAATATACCACACCAGCAACCAATAATCACCACAAACCATTTAATACATGTACAGATCTGTAATAAGGACACCAGCTCTATAATGAGGACACTTTTGTAATGTCCCAATGCACCTTTGAAATGAGGACACCTCTGTATTAAGGACAGGCTGTAGACTGAATACATTAATATACACGTTGATATTATAACCAATGGAGCCTGTTATAGTAATGCAGTGTTATTACCACATTGGGCTTAAAAATAAAATATTGTAAAAGCAAACAAACAGGGACAATGTGATAATGATGGTTTCCTGATGCATTAACGCTTAACATATGATAATGACAACAAAATCCATGTAGGGTTGGGACTAAATGTTGATTACAATTATTATATCAAAAATAGAGAGAGAGAGAGAGAGAGAGAGAGAGAGAGAGAGAGAGAGAGAGAGAGAGAGAGAGAGAGATTCTCATACTAAAGGATCAAGAGGTACAGGTAAAAGCTAAAACTCTCAAAAGCAACATAGACACACAATAAGGACACACACAGGTACACCACTGCAACTTCATACCCAAACCACAAGAAAGAGAAGACACACAAACAAATTAATTATTACATCACTACACACCCAATAATAAAGTCAATGTAGCTGTGTAATCACAATAAAGGCATTGAGCAAGCTAAAAGCTGCTATCATCATTTAGTCTACAAATATCATTTGTACTATTATAATAATAATGTACTCTATATTCTCACAGGCAACAAGGCTGATGTACATACTAACATTCTCACAATACAATGTAATGAGCATACAATGGGACAAAAGGGATACCTAATAGCTTAGAGTGTAAAGGCTTTACGTAATGGAGATTAAATGCATTGGAGGCTAGATCATAAGATTAAAGTGCAAAGATAGGATTTGTGTGGATAAAACAAACAAAGTGATGTCTTTTATCAACCAGAGAGAGAGAGAGAGAGAGAGAGAGAGAGTGAGAGTGAGAGTGAGAGAGAGAGGTGGGGGTTGTGCTGTATTGTAATATAACAGGGAGCAACAAAACAGGTGTCGTAAAAGATAAACAGGCTTTTATGTTTTAAGAGTTGACAAATTCACGGGCAGTCCTACACAAACACATCATCACACACCAAAAGAAATAGTAAAGAAAGAGAGAGAGAGAGAGATAAGAAAGAGAGGGAGAGAGAGAGAGAGAGAGAGAGAGTTACATGGTGTGTAAGGTACAAGAAGGTCGGTGGGAGCACAGCATGTGAAATTTCAGTTACTAAAAATGGAGCCAAATTAAAGTGTTGCTAATGTAATTTAAACCCTTTGATAATGGGATGGACAAGCATTAACTGAATAAGCCTGTCTCACACATGAGCTCTCTGACTGTAAATAAATGACGATCATCATAATAATGTACAAAAACATCAGGACATTCAGTCATTGTACATATATATATGTACATCTTCTCTCCTTCTAATTAAACTAGGAAGGATGTAGCAATTCATTATGAGTCAAGAACAAAGACAAAGTACATGAAATAAAATTGAGCGGTTTAGTTACAGGTGGCAGGGGCTATACTTTTTAAAAGGATCAATTTCTCAAAGGAAATGATTAAATATTGCACTCGGGAAGAGTATTTCCTGTAACAGCAGACAAAGGAGAGGAAGAAGAGAAAGAGGAAGAGAGAGAGAGAGAGACAGAGAGAGAAGGAGGGAGGAAGAGAGTTCTCACTTCTGTTGCAAGGAAGCTTCATCAATGGTTGAATTAGAGGTTACAGTTAGACCAGGCTGGGAGAGAGTTTGCTGTTGAGAGCCGTAGCCTAATGGAGCTGGAGCCAACTGAACTACTGATCCTACAAAATAATAATAAAATAAAATGATAAAAATTGCATTGCATTTGCTCGAGCCTCCCTTCATTCCAGATTCCCTCTCTCTTTAGCAAATTAACACTTATTCTTCATTTAAAGGAAAATTGAAAGGGAATGCATAATTGCTTTACCTAATCAAATCACATTAAGCTCAAGAACGAGGGAAAAATAGAACGAAAAATAACAAAAAAGTGAAACCAGGGCGTAAAACGGAGTAATAAAAAGAAGAGGAGGTGTTCTCAAACAAAGAGAAACCAGCTAATAATTCACTGGAGGACAAAGACACAACAACAACACCATAATATCAATACACTAATGATAAACAACTAGTAGAGAAGAAACAACATCCCAATACACGAACACACACACACACAAGCTAATAATAAATAATACTGCTAGCAATCGTATTGTACATGTTATTATAATACATGAGCAAGCTCTTGTCTCTCTCTCTCTCCCACTCCCTCCTCACTTTCTCCTCTTCCTCTTTATTTCTTTTCATTGCTCTACTCAATCAAATACACACACACACAAATAATACTCACAAATACTCTTATTTCTTTTATATATAAAGGCAGGCACAATTAAACTAAATCTAAATTAGACTAATGAAGTACATGCACATGTATGTACTTTTGATTACACAACAAGTAGATGTGAGCTCTCCCCCTCTCCCTCCCTCTCTCCTTACCCCCGGTCTGCGATATATCTTGTATCTGCGAGAATGTGAAAGGCGTCCCTTGAATTACCTGTCCACCGTACGATATGGCCCCAGGTGCTGGAGAAGGTTGTGTAGTAGTTACCAAGTGATTCATAGCTATGTAGCTAGGGGTGACTGCACCTGAGCCAGCTACAACCCCACTTGCAATCGAAGCTGCAGTCACGTCAGACGAGCAACGAGAGATTATAATAGGTTGAGGTACACCATGTTTGCTGGAGCCAGTGCTTCCAAAAGATACACTATTGGATGGAGGGAAAGCAGCATGCTTTTGAATGATGGCCATTTTAGAGGTACAGAAGGAAAGCTGCTAGGCTGGGTATAATGCTCCTTCTCTTCTTATGCAAGTTATTCTGCACCTACATGGAATATTAAGAAAAGAGGGAGAGGTGAAAATGGCTGGCTGGTTTAAGGTCGCCCGTGACTACACAGCTGATTACAAAGCCATTGCAAGCCAGATGCTGCACAAAAGCGACCCGACCTCTACACTCTGCTAAGCTATGCTAGAACAATCAAATGTACTACATCTGGGTCCACTTGCAGCGCTACCTTGGGGCAGGCTCCATTTAAAAACTAACACTCTTCATTATTACCTTTTTATCCTTCGGTCCTGCCGCTGTGAGAGGCGCCAAGGAAATCCTTCTTTTACAACAAAACTGGTCTGTTCCGAGTCCTAATAAACGAGACGGGTAGGAAGGAGATACAGAGAGAGAGAGTAGAGGCTATTGCTGGGAGTGTGTTTGGTGGCAGCAGTATTGTTCAGCACCTGTTGTTTGGTGCTAAATATGGTGACTATTTATAGATTCATGAGAGATATAAACACACAAAGCCGACCAGCAACTACCTATCGACAATGCAACGTTACAATACTTTCATGTACTATCAACATACACGACAACATTACAAGACAACATGTCCTCTCATGAATACGCTTATGAAAACAGATTACGGTTAAGTTTACGGAAATTTGCGGAGTTTACCTTACCGGGCCCCCTTGTGGTTATTATCGGTGTTGACGGGACCGCGTGAATAAGTTTAATTAGTTAATTAATTAATTGATTTTTTATTTTTAATAATCATAAACCATAGATATTAGCATAAACTAAAAACTAAACTAAAAGAACTGTAACCTAAGGTTTGTTTCTTCTATTTAAAGAGCTCCCACTTCCTTTAGCTTAGCAACAAGCTCCCCTGACCTCTGCATTTCTTGCGTCTCAGAACCCCCGCCAATACAAACCCCTCCAATAAAAACACGAGGGACCGTACGACCCCCCGTCAGTTGAGCGAGATAGTTCTGTATGGCATCACAATCAGCTACAAGAGAAAGAGAGAGAGGAGATAGAGAGAAAGGGAAAGAAATAAAGACAATAAAGTTTATCACAATCCTCTATTCGTGTAGACAAACAGTTTTGGAAGTTTGAAAACAACACAGACAGAAAGAAAGTGAGAGAATGTACTACTAGCTGTTACAAAACACTACACAACCAAACATATGCTCCTCCTCTCTCTCTCTCTCTACCTCTCCTTTCCTTTCTCTCACTATCAATCCCACTACTTTACACACACTCTCTCCTCTCTCTCCCCCTCTCTCTCTCTCCCTTCCCCTCCTCTCTCTCTCCCTCTCCTCCCTCTCTCTCTCCCCCTCTCTCCCTTCCCCCCTCTCTCTCTCTCTCTCTCCTCTCTCCCTCCCTCTCTCTCTCTCTCTCCCTCCCTCCCTCTCTCTCTCTTCTCATCTCTCAATAGCAAACAGAAAGAATAACAAGACAGTTGGAGATCCTGTGAGTAGACTATTCCACAACAACAACAAACCCTGACCACATTTAACAACAAATAATATTCACTGCCAAACTACCCAGGACAAACAAACTGCCATGGTGACAAGAGGGTCGTCATGGAAACTGTATGGCGCCCACCACAAGGTCACACGGCTATAGCACAGTAAATAAATACAGGTGGTTCAATAGGGCCAAGCTAATCTGATAGAGTAATTAATGCAATAAAGCAAGATTAATAATCACACGCTTTAATTCGATTTGAAGCAAAATCATAAACATAAATACCATAATAATGATAAACAATAATAATAATAATAATAAACATTATAACAATAATACAAAATCATTTGGCAATATTATGGTTGATATTCTATTAAGGAGTATCATAATCATAATGTGTGACAGGATCCCGTGCTGGTTTTGGTACAAGGTGCAGGCGAGGAGTGATAATTTAGTGTTTTTGAAGCCTAATAAGTAAAGTATGACCATATCAGCGCCATTTGGCAACGCTTGGAGATTACAAGACATAATAAGGTCATCAGTCGGTACACATTGTTAATTGTTAGGCATAAGCTCTTTGTCACGGTCGCCCAACCGACCCCTTGAGATATCCCACTGACACACACAAACTTAACGTTATTATGATTTCTTTCCTTCTCTCTCTCTCCCTCTCCCCCCCTCTCTCTCTCTCCCCCCCCTCTCTCTCTCTCTCTCTCCCCCCCCCTACTTTCCCGTTTATTTCTCTTCTTTCTCCTCTTGATCCTTCTCCTTCTCTCTCTCTTTCCCCTTTCTTTCTTTCTTTCAATTAACATACGCCTATCTTCCATTTCCATGAGGTAGTACTTAACACCGGTCTCATTCAAAGATGCCTTAGCCATTTTGCAGTATGGGCAATAAGATTTCGAAAAGACAGCAACTTTATTCTCCTTAAGAATCTTATCAACCAATTCCTTGGCAGCCATGTTTTACAATGTCTAGCATATGTATGACGAATAAATTACACAAGTCAATTATTAATACAAATAATAAGGAGCTGCCCTGAAGATAATAACATTTCTACCATAATTTACATTTATATTTTGAAATGACACATAAATGTATACATAGAAATACTGTTATACCATATAGCTCAAAACTTTCGAGGTTAAAAACTTTCGCGAATGAGTGAAAAGATAAATTTTCGCGATTAAAACTTTCGCGAATGGGCAGTCACGCCCATTTAGACACGTCTTATAATTTTAATTTCGCGATTAAAATTTTTGCGTTTTAGGCGTAAACCGCGAAATTCGCGAAAGTTTTCAGCCTCGAAAGTTTTGAGCTATACGGTATACCGTAGGGTGCCTTTTTTCGAGGGCTATATATTTTACGGATTTCACGGATTTTTTTGCTATTCGTGAAAATAAATTCCTCGAATTAATAGTATATGGGTGTGGAAAATTCGAATTCAGGATAAAATTGCGAAATTTAATACAGCGAATTATATATCCGCTAAATTTATAGCCTTTGTAAAAAAGGTGCCCTAGGGTAAATGCAATTCAAAGAAGGAAGGAAGGAAGGGAGGAAGGGCAAGTGGGTGTTAAAAGCGTCGATTAACTACAAACATACACAATATTTAACACACTATGTACACATCATGACCATGCTACACAAAAACATGTTATCAACGCAGTACATGCACAGAAAACAAACATGTACTCGTGTACGTACTATTTTATTGAATACTAATTAACGTGATATCTACTTGTAATTGTATACATATATATTAATTAGACTAATTAAGTAGCTTAATTAAATTATTGTTGTTGTTTATAACAGTGTTGTTATTGTTACTGTTACAGTTACAAACATTTATATGAGATTTACTTACCTCTCTCTGTTTTGCAAAAGACAGGAAAGTTAGGAAAGAAAGAGATCGCTGAATACAACAACTAAAAAACAGGGGCAACAGAAAATGAGCAAATTAAGCAAGAAGCCAAGAACTGTGAAAAAAGGTTGGGGCGTGGGAGTTAAAAACTAAATAAAGGTGTGGCTAAAGACATGGCTGAAGCTTTGGAAGAGGAAAATAGTAAAATTGCAAGTAATGGAAAGCCAGAGCAAGAAGTTTTATCGTCAACAGTTAAAGACGTGCACACTCAGTTAAGAGAGCAGCTGTATTCAGGTGAATTACTCCATTTAACACTGAAGTCTTGTAATATTGCATTTATTCTTTTCAATTATCATAAATGTTTTATAAATTAATGCATATCTTTTTGTGAATTAAACTGCAATAATATGCGCCAACGCTTTTCAAAAATCTCAGAATTTAATATTAACAGGATTTAACGTATTATTAAAATTAATTAATTTTATTTTTCTAGGTATTCCGTTAGATAAAGTTTGGTCGGTTCATCTTAAAGATGAAGACACTCTAATCAAATATTCTAAAGCAATGCATTCACTTGCTGTTGGTCCGTGGATGAAGCATGGCGGAGGGAGGATACAGTGGTGCCTTGAGGCCTGCAAAGAGTATTTTCAAGATGGTGGGGTCTTGGAAAAAGTCCTTAGAAAAGATTTGAGACGTAAAGAGTTTGGAAACCCAACTCAATTGGAGGATTCGCTGCTACCTAAGAGTGAAGAAGATTATAGAACTATTTTAGAATCATTTAGGGGGAGACGGCTAGAACTATTAGATGTAGGCAGCTGTTATAACCCGTTTAGTGAATATAGGGAGCTGCTTGATGTTACTGCTATTGATCTTGCACCTGCTGTTGAGGTTAGAGGAGTTGAATGTGATGTTGCTTTAAATTCAAAAGTTTTTTCTTTATTTTAGAGTGTTTTACAGTGTGACTTTCTAAATGTAAAAATATTAAGTAGGAGTAGAGACAAAGAGAAGGTTCCTATGGTTCACAAAGAAGGAAAGATCATTCAGAGCCTTCTAGAAGAAAGTTTTGATGTGGTCGTCTTTTCTCTATTACTTTCATACTTACCATCAACTGAGCAGAGAATGGAGTGTTGTATAAGAGCTCATTCTCTCTTAGCGTTGCATGGGATATTACTTATCGTAACTGCTGACAGCTCTCATCAAAATCGACACGTTGATATGATGAAGTCCTGGCGATCTGCTATTGAGGGAATTGGGTTTCAAAGATGGAAGTATGTGAAAGACGTTCATCTTCATTGCTTGGGATTTAGGAAGACTGCATTGACTCCTGCGTCTGGTTATAGCTCAATTCTTAAAGAATGGCATCGTAATATCACTATACCTCAAGACAGAATTAAAGAATAAAAAGAAATATTTTTATTAATACCATTCATTAGTTGACACAAGTACATGAGTGTTGACCACATTATGAAGCAACCCACAAGAGCTTGAACAAATAGCTGAGTATAAAAGAGCTGCACTGAATGTCACTCTGGTAATTAAATAGAGATGCATATTACATGAGAGTTTTATACCAATTTTTGAAAGGGCTCATTATCAATGACCCTGCAGCCAAGCTAATCAGTAATGTATTACATTCATATGAAATGTACTATGTACTGAGACAGAGATAATGGACTTTCCTCAGAAATTATTACATTTGATACAAATAGTAATGTGTGTATAGTGTGTAAAAATTTGGGTCTAAATTAAGTTCCTCAAAAATGTGGTGAAAGTCCCTGTACTTTACATAGTCGGCTCAGGCCAAGTTTTGCCAAAATTGAAAAGGAAAAAATATTTTTTTCCTAACACATTCATATACATGTTCTTATGCTGTGCAAAAAGTTTGAGTCAATTCTGATCAAAATTGGATTTTTTATGAATTTTTAAAGTTGCTAAAAAATCCCAAATTTCTACATCCCTGGCCCCGCCTACAAACACCCACGCAACTTTTTTGAAAGGTGAAACTCGTGCTGACAAAATGGAGGACGAAGAAGGAAGTTATGAAGGGGAGGGAAGTCAGGGAGCGGGTTCTGTTGGAGGCAGTGGACAGTATGTAAAGAAACATAGCAACACGCTACCACTGTTTGGTAACAAAGAGACGATGAATATTAATAACATGATTATTACCAACATTCTCCAGTCCCGCTATTTCAAAATAGAGCTGTACGAGAAAAAGACCTTCCACGAGGTAGTAGATGAGATATTTTATAGGGTGAGTCAAAATTACGGAATCAGTTTTTGCATTAAATGATAAATATTTTGGATTTTTCATTGTACACGCCCTCATTTGTAATCTTGTCTCCGCCTCTTTTGTCGTAGGTTGAGCATCTGGAGCCGTGGGAAAAAAATAGTCGTAAACTATCGGGACAAGTTGGAATGTGTGCCGGAGTAAGAAAGAGGCAGAGATCTGAATTATTTATTTCTTTCCTTCTCTTCCGAAGGTTCGTGGTGTTGCTGCTGGTGGCATCGTATCTACTCCGTTTTGCCTCTTGTACAAACTATTTACTCTCAAACTGACTCGCAAGCAAGTCAAAGTCATGCTCAATCATGTGGACTCTCCCTACATTCGTGGTCTTGGGTTCATGTATATCAGGTTAGTGGGCGTGTCGTTGGGCGGGGTCTCATAGTGGGTGTGGTTTCAGATACTGCCAGCCACCGAATAATTTTTTGGATTGGTTTTCGCCTTACCTAGAGGATGAAGAGGTACTAAATGAAAATTTTTGATTAAAATAATTTTTTGGTAATGTCCCTTTTTGATCCTTTTTCCTTCCTCCTCTCTCTCCCTCTCTCTCTCCTAAGGAGATAGATCTTAAAGCAGGGGGTGGTTATCCAGTCACTATTGGTGTCATGTGTCATATGATGCTCACTAAAATGGAGTGGTTTGGTACAATGTTTCCAAGAATATCAGTCAACGTCCAGAAGGACATACATGACAAGATTAAACTCATTGAGAGGTCAGTGTGAGAAGGTAACAAGATTCGACGACGTTTTTGACAAGCATTACTCTTTATTTTGCGTTTTTTTTTTTTCAATTTTTTACTTGCAGTAAAAGTAATAGAAATGCTGAAGGATCTACAGAGAATAGCAGAGGGAGAGGTACAGAGATGAGGTAATAGTAATAAATAATCTTTTTATTTTATTTATTGTTAATTTGTATATCTAGTCCTGAAAATGGAACTTCTCAAATAAGATCATCTAAATCTCCCAGAAGACGTTCTCATTCTCCACGTAGACGATCCCCGTCGCCAAGGAGACGCTCAAGATCTCCTAGGAGACGTTCTCGGTCGCCTAAGAGACGATCTCGGTCTCCAAGGAGACGTTCAAGGTCGCCTAGGAGACGTTCAAGGTCACCTAGGAGACGTTCAAGATCGCCAAGAAAAAGATCAAAATCTCCAAGGAGAAAACGTCATTCAAGATCGCCACGGAGACGGTCGCGGTCACCAAGGAGACGATCAAGATCGCCTCGGAAACGCTCAAGGTCGCCGCGGAAACGATCAAAGTCACCACGGAAACGATCAAAGTCACCACGGAAACGATCAAAGTCGCCACGGAAACGATCAAGGTCCCGTTCAAGAGAAAGGAATCACAAGTAACTTTATATTGACCACACCCTCCAACTCTATGCACGATTATTTTCCATTTAATTTTAGATATAAATATCATTGTTTACAAAACAGAGAGATTTAAAAAATAATTATAAAACATAGAAAAAATAGTTATTATATTTAAAATATAAATTCTACCTGCAGTGTCGCTGTCATAATTGTCTGTGTGTGTGTGTAGTTAAACTGCAGACTCAATAATAATAATAATATTAATAATAATAATAATAATAATATACAATAATTGTTTGGTCAGCAGCAGAGTAAGAATGAAGGAGAGAAGGGTAAAGGAAGAAAAATGAAATTAGTATAATGAGCTTCTTCGTCTGTCTCTGTCGTCTGAAATAAAGAGAAAAAAAACATTATTTTCTATACTAAAGTTGAGTGTGAGCTAAGCGTAACCATGCAGTGAATTATATTATTATTATTATTTTTGCTTTAGACTAAAATACATAACATTATTATTATCATTATTATTACATGATGTTTTTGTGTCTTTCTGTGATTTTCTGTCGCCAGGATTCTTAACTAGCTCAACACCAGGAATAGTGAATATTGATACAACTATAAAAGAGACAGAACACATGACATAATAATGATCGTATAACCATAAAAATTGCAATACATAATATACCAATGTAATATACTATTCACTCTTCATTGGATTTCACTTACTGTGTGGTAGATCATGTATTTGCGGTGGCAAACTTGAGAAGTAATTGTGTTTCATTCCGTCACGTGCTAAAAGCCTTTCTTGTGATTCATAGCTTAGTAACTTGCTCATCAAGTTAATTCCTTCCTTATCCAACCTAAGAAAATGAAAATATCATAATAGCTGAGCTCTGAGATATCAAAGCTGAGAGCAGATAATTGTTGCATTACTGATACCCACCTAGACACACTGGACTATGAATGATAATGTTTCATTTACCTTGGTACTATTAATCCCAAAGGCTGAGGATCGTAGCGAAGGAAAGAGTGAGAAATGAATTCTTTGTTTTTCGTAATTCCGGGCCAGGTCTTCTCATTCGGAGTACCAAGGCTCTAAAACAAAAAAAGACAAAAAACATTAAAATTAACTAAAAGGAGTAGTTTGTTATACCTTCCAAATCAGTACTAGCTCTTCTTCTACGTTAGCACCGGGGAACATTGGCCGACCAACAATCATCTCATAGAATATACAACCCACACCCCTATATGTTCACACGAAAACATCACATCATATTTCATCACTTTGTAACGTGTAGACATGTTCACTGTTTACCATATATGGTTATCAACACAAACACGGCTTAATAATACGATAATTCCAATCAATTAAGGACATTTCAAAGCTGGAATTTTGTCTCACACTTGTACGCACAATTTTACCTGGCTTCATCTCTCTCTCTCTCTCTCTCTCTCTCTCTCTTTCTCTCTCTATCTCCCCCTCTCTCTCTCTCACCACTTACCACATGTCAATGCTATCCGCATAATCTATTGATCCCAGTAGTACATCAGGTGGTCTGTACCTATAAAAGAATCCAAAGGTAATATAAGATGCATAATAATCATAATGATTCCTTTACCATAATGTAACTACTTCATTTGAATATGTCTTTGTAGGTACAGATTTTGCTCTGGCTAAACCTATACAAAGATCAAGCAATGACTTATTCTTGAACACTAATGCTTTAATGATTACCAAAGTCTGCTAGTTTAAGATCTCCTTGCTCGCTGATGAGGAGGTTCTGAGGTTTCAAGTCTCTGTGAAGGATTTTTCTTGAATGACAATATTGTAACCCTCTCATTAATTGGAATAAAAACAACTGCAGGAAAGGAGAAGAGTAATCAATTAAAGAATGTCAACTTTTCCTTTCCATTCTTTCATTCTCCTTACCTTTACGTTAGGCATTGCCATCATTCCACTGCACTGATCTAGGTACTGTTTCAGATCTTGCTCAACATATTCGAATATAAGTGTTAGTGATCGTGCCGTGTGGATGATGTCGTGAAGGAACACAATGTTAGCGTGTTTTAAGTCTTTTAAAAGTGATACTTCTCTAATGGCAGTACAAGGAGCACCCTCTTCGTGCTCTAGTCTTATTTCCTTGAGTGCTACAAGCTTCCCCGTGATGCTATATAATAATAAAGGAGAATAGAAAAATGAATATTATGTTTATTTATTGCATGTCAAACGTACTTGCTCTTTCCCTTGTAAACAGTGGCATATGTTCCCTAACAAAAGGAATTAAAGAGAGGAGTCATGATAATTGGTGGGGTCTCCCTGTTCCCATAATTGCTAAACACGTACTGCTTGAGCATTATTAAGCTAATGGTAATCATACACTGTGGCAATGTTAATAGAGTGTTATTCACGAGTCTCAAAGCACACATCAAATTTTATCATAATCATCATTTATAGGCAGCACAATATTAGCTTACCTCTCCCAGTTTCTCTAGCTTCTCGTATGTCTGAAGCTTTCCAAAACCGATTTCTGACTACAAAAATAAAAAAGATATTAAAATACAAATCTTTATTTTATAATCTACACTTACTAATGAGGCTCTTCTCTGCATTCTATTTGCAAATGGCATGAAGATCGGTTTACCATCTGTTGGTGAGACTGGAGGAGATACAGTTAGGTCGAATGAACTCTTTGCTTTAGCTTTACTGCTAGTGGCTAGGGAGCGTTCTGGGGATATTGTAGACATGTCTACATTACTAGAGGATGCAGAGCGGCCAAGACTACCACCGAATAATGGTAGTGTGAATCTCTTGTGCTCGTTATCTGCCTATTGAGAGTTAAAAGAGAAGACATAGAGTGAAGGAATGTCAATGGTTGGTGTGAGATCTTTATTTATTTGTCTGTGGGTAGTCACAGTTAGAATATCAAGTGTAATTTGAGCTGTATACACATATCTTAGCTCATATACTACTGTGTGGCCACTATAATATTTCTTGTTTCCCTTACTCTCGAGTATCTTGTTGTTTTAGAACGGAGTGTAGCAGCAGGTAGGGGACCGTCGGTTGGGTAGGCATCAACTTCAGCTCCCTCGTCTTCTACTTTAGTGAAGCCATCTTGGGCTCCAGCGATGATACCTGTAGTTACAAATAAACAGTTACTAGCTGTTTTCCCTAGAAGAGGAAGCTAAACATATGTTTACATGACATTGTGAGAGAGTTTTCTTTTCCTCTCTCTGCGTGTTCTCTACACACAAACATTTCATTGACAAAATGGTACACAATGTGAGATTGGCTTATATTCCCAATACTTTCATTGCATAAACATTCAGTACTATACCCTTTCTCCTTCTTGGAATATTTGGCATTGATGAAGCTTTGTAGAGTCTGTTGGAGCTGACATGAGTTAGAGGCTCATCAAATAATGGAGACAGGCTATTCCCCATGATGGCTGCTAGTAGGGGCTAGTCTGGTTATGATAAGGCCAGGATATGAACTAGCAATACTATATACAGTCACACTTGATGGCTATGTAAGCTGGAAATTGCTGTGCCTTTTAGCAAATGCTCACTCACACTAAACTCTCAGTATCAGCTACACACATACTTTTATAATTGATACACTATGCACACAGAAATCATACAATGCTGTAGCTGCAATAGTGTTGTTACTAATGCACTAGTCCTGAGCTGTATTAACTATGCATAGGAACTGCAGTTTAGAGTAAGGAATGAAAGGAAAGAAGACTCTCATATGCTATAGCTAGTCATATAGGTGGAGCTCATTCTCAAATACTGCAGCACCAGTAACAAACAACAGGCTCTCTCTTACCTTCATCAACTATACCAGTGTAAGAGTGGTCTCTTGATTTAGTTCTACCAAAAGTTAGCGATAGGCGCTTTTTGACTGCACTCATGACTCAAAAGCAGCTCCTCTTCCCTGATTTAATAGCAGGCTATGTACAATACTAAATTATGGGTAGGTATTTGGTCTTGTTCCTGTGTTTCTCCTTAATATTTCCTCCTTCCCTTCCTCCTCAGTCTCAGTTGCATGCTCTTCAAGAAGTCCCCAGGAGCGTAGGTGTGTAGCTGCTTACTACACTGGTATATCTAATATCTCTAATTGCTGAGAGCAGCAGTGTCCTGTGCAAAAATCGACGCTGCAGGCAGCCACGCCCTTTCTAAAAGCACCGTAAATACTCTATTTTAAAGATTATAACCAGTAATATCAAACAGTAAACTATGAATAATTAATGAGGTGTGCTATGTTCCAAAAGTATTTCTACAGCTTTTGAGCCGTTCCTGGCATTACTTGCAATGTCTAATGCTGCAAAAAAACAGAAAAATAAATTATTATTTTCTTTAACTGCCACCTGTTCTTCCGTGACTATCTCTTGCACTTATATCTGCACCAAATCTCAATAATAGCTTGATCACCATCCCTTGTCCTTCCTGCATTATGTATATATAAGTTAAATATTCATGAAAGGCTAACTTTAGCAGCATAGTGTAGTGGTGTCATTCTGCCACTGCCACTGTTTGGTTTATTGATGCATTTCTTTATATCGTATTTATCCCGAAGTTCAGCCTCTTGCTCCTTCTCATCTTGTCTCTGTAAAAGATATGATAGCACATCAACCGAGCCAGCCTGAGCTCCGTGATGCAACAAAGAACGTCCCAATACATCCTCAATGAAGATATCAGCCTACAATACAGAATGTAGACAAACAGGATAGCAAAATGCAACTCTGGCATAATTAGGTTTATTAAAATGCTAATGTCAATCAGCAACTAATTAACACTATCTAACAAACACTCCATTATTAGAAGTACATGCGTTTAATTGGTGATAGTTGATACTAAAACCAGTCCGTGTCTGATTTGTAATGCCTAGCCACTCCTGGGCAAGAAATTATAGCTGCTATTACAACACTGTGTCACAATTTACACTATAAACTTCCTGTTATACTATATAACTCCCCCATGCTGAAGGTCTAAGTATTAAAATAACTATTACATTACTGAAGCATAGCCGATTATCACACACAGACTGTGGCTAGTGTTGATATGATATGATATTACCCTTACCATTAACTCCTCCACTAAGAGTTTAGTGACTGAAATATGATTAGCTCTCACGGAGTCCATAAGTGGTGTGACTCCACAGCTATCCTTTGAATTGACATCAGCACCACATCTTAAAAGAAGGAGCTCATATTACTGACTACAGCCTCTCTCTCTTACTCAATGCATAGTATTTTTACTATTTCCGTATGTCCATGTAACGCAGCCTAGAGTAACAGTTATAAATAAGTATTATGATTATTATAATTAAACTTACAGTATGTAGAGGTGTCCTTCCATTACTGCTTAATGTCTTCCAACAATTTCCATTTATTTCCAAAAGGTAGCGTACAATCTCAGACGATCCTTCTCTAGTATACTGAAAATCACGGGCAGTAAAACTCTGGATACCTTGATGTAATGTGAAATGCAGTCCAACCATCTTTATTGCAAAGCTGGAGACTGGCGCCAAAACTTATTAGCAACTTTATGGATTTCATATGATTTTTTGAACAGGCCAGCATCAATGGTGTCCTACATTATAAAAATTATAAAAAATATATATATAGAGTCTCTTAAGTAATATTGACAATTTTTGAAGGTATAAACAAGTTAATTAACATGGTCTCGGACCAAATTTTGCCAAAAATGTCAAGTAGAAAATTCTTCATTTTTATAACATTTTCTGATACATATAGATGTTCTTATGTTGTGTAGCAAGTTTGAGTTGATTCCGATCAAAATTGGATTTTTTATGTATGTTTAAAGTTACTCAAAAATTGGGTGAAAGTCTCTGTCCTATTATAGTACAGGGTCTTGGGCCAAATTTTGGCAAAAATGACAAGGAGAAAATTCTTCATTTTTATAACTTTATCTGATGCATATACATGTACTTATGTTGTGTAGCAAGTTTGAGTTGATTCTGATCAAAACTGAATTTTTTACAAATTTTTAAAAGTTACTCAAAAATCGGGTCAAATTCCCTGTACTATTAAGGCGGTATTACAATATTACGCTAGTCCTGACGTTACGTTGACGCTGGAATAGAATCTGGTTCTATTCCAGCGGAAAGCATGCGTCAAAAGGTCAAATCGCCCACGCTTTTGATTAAAAATTGACGATACGCTGGCCTAATGTCATATTGTAATTGCGCCTTAAGTAACGCGGTAGCGTTACTAAGTAGGATTCACCCCCAAACAAAATGGCTGCCACGACTTTTGCAGCCTTGCTATACCGGGAAAACGAGCTCCTATGCTTGCCAGACTTCTTAGAGGACCTTATCTTGACCAGAGGACTCCAATGGTACCAATAGCGTGGCTCTAGACCTTTTCTGGGAGAAAAATCAAAAATCTGCAAACCGGCCGTTTTGTTCAGCCACCTTTTTCATCTTCATCATCAGGAAAGTCCTGTCAATCCAGTTGTCGGTCGATATGTCGATCTTGCCTGGTGATAGAAGGCTAATTCTTACACCATTCTACTCCAACAGGGTATGCGCAGGTCCTTGTCCCCTAGAATCATTCTCCAAGAAAGGAAGAAGTGATACTGTGACTTTTGGATCGCACCAGCTTACCTCATGCCGCCATTTTATTAATTAAAGAAGCATGTGGCATGTGCTCCAAAATTTGGGCGTGGTCGCGCATGCTCAGATCTCAGAACTGGGAACAGCAAGTATTTTTTACCTAGCTAGGCTAGCTATGCTTGGAATCAAATTGCAATACTCAGTGGAGGTTTCCAGCTAAGAGAAGGTATTAATCTTGCATATATCAAGTGTGTAATGAATTATTTTATTTGAAAAACACAGAACAATTAATTAATGTTATGATACTAATGATAATATGAACTTGACAACAGGAAGAACCTGCAGGAATAGCTACAGGATTGCTGGGAAGATAGAGCTTCTTGAACAAGGATTCACATCAAGACTATAGTATTCATTTCACTTGTCATCAGTATAGTAGATATTCCTTCAGCATATATATCTATTCAATTCAATCAGTGCTGTCCCTCATAAATGCTGTAAAATCATAACAATGACAACAATAATAAAGAAACTTATTGTTTGTATAAAATCAAAAGGTATCACAATTGTAACTGAAAAAAATATTATAAATATTATTAAAAAATCAACACAAACAACAACATAAAAAATTTAAAAAAACAA